CCGATGGAGGCTAACTGCCACCATCCTTCTCCACTCCTCCAGCTAGTCGCCGCCGTTAACCACCGTTGTGGCTGCTGTTGCCGTCATCATGCACCACCAAGTGGTGGTTGTGTCCAGATCTCCGAGCTAGGGCGTGTAGATGTGGGTTGTATAGTCATTCCTTCGTTGGTGTGGCTGCTTGACCAGGAACCAGAGAGAAACCACCGCGGTGGTGGCTGCCATCGCAAAACAGTTGTTGCAGCCATCGTGAGCCACCAGGTGGGTGGCTGGGTCCTTTGTACAAATCAGAATTGTGTGTATATTGTAGGTGGTGTTTAAGGGCCAAAAAACATAAGAGATACCTACCATGGCTGCCAGCCATGGTGGCAGCCACCATGTACCACCACTGGCCACCACAAGGGTGGCTGTGTCTGTGTGTGTGTTTATATTAGTGTGTGTGTGTGTGTGTTATTTGGGATTTTTGGCATTGTAAATTGTAATTAGTGACTAATATAATCAACAAAACCCATAACCACCAGCGTGAGGTGGTAGCTACCGCCTTTCTGCCACCACCAGCCGTCGTGTTGTGTTGCGGTGTGCTTTTGCTTGTGTTTAGCTTGCCTTTGGATGCTTGGACATAATGGGACTAGAACCATAACCACCACTGTGAGGTGGTGGCCACCACCATGAGCTGTCATTGACTATCACTACCTGAGGTGGTAGTGGGTGGTGCTCGACTTAGGAAAAACCCTAATTGACCGAATGAAACCCTAATGGGCATAAAGACTTAGCTTCTGGGCCTAATTGGGATGTGATGGGTGGGAAATCCTAATTAGGGTTTAGAAAACCCTAATTTTAGATATATGGGCTTTGGATTGTCGGGACCCACATTTTAGATAACGAGATTGGGATTATGTATTAAGCCCTACCACACCATATGATTTACCGAGTAGAGTGATGGACTTAATGAATTAAGTCCTTGATGGGCTAAGTAGGGACACTTAACCCTAATCATCATTTCATGTAAAAAAACCCAAATTTTAAATTGGGCATTGAGTTGGGCCTTTCTATTGGGCTTTGATGATTGGGCTATTGATGGGCCATCCAAGAATAATCATATGGACTATAATATTTAGATGGGATTTAGGGTAAGGCCCATATGAGGGTTGGGCCCAATTTGGAAAATTGGGCCATAGATGGGCCATAATTTGGGCCTTGATGATTATGAGATGTTGGACCATTGGAATGCCAAATGTTTGGACTTGACTAAATGGTTGGGCCTTAGGGTAAGACCATGTAAAGTTTGGGTCTAATTTGGAAAATTAGGCCATATGTTGTCCTTAGGCCCGATACTTGACTATTGGGCATTGGGAGTGCGAGTTGAACCTTAGGCTTGGAACCCAATTATTAATTGGGTGTTGTTTGATATTGACAGTTCAGGAATCTGTCATGCAGCAGCTAGGGTTTTTGTCTGCGGGACTTCAGCAGTGCGAGGTGAGTTGTCCTCACTATACTAAGGGGTCTAAGGCACCAATGTCGACCCATTGGATTTAATATCCTAGTAGTTATTGATATCTTGAGTATAAGTTAGTGATGTATGTCACTTGATATGCTAGTCTAGTAGATCTATAGGACTACCTGTGATATTTTCTGATTATTTGTATGTGCACTTATCTGTTATATGTCGAAATGTTATGTGGTGTGGTTATGTTGAGGTTGTACTGCTCCGTGCGGTGGCCAACAACCCCTAGAGTATACCAGATATCAGCTGAGGGCCAGGGAGGGCATACCAGACTCATACTGAGGACTCATATGCATCCAGATATGAGTTGAGGGTTGGGCAGACATGCTAGACTCGTACTGAGGGCTAATCGATTGTATTCCAGTTTGAGGACTATAGGAGCAAGCCAAACATAAGTTGTGGGCCGAGGACAATCCAGACTTATGTTGTGGGCTCGAGAGCAAACCGGATATGTGCTGAGGGCCGAGGTGGGCATACCAGAGTCATATTGTGGGCTCAGGGGTAATCCGGTCTGTGTAGCCGTGGACCTATTGCATGTTATTGTTGTTACTGTTACCATTATTATGTGTACTATCTGTTATGCATCAGTATTTTGGGGGAAATCACTAAGCTTTGGGCTTACAATTTCAGTTTTGGTTTCAGGTACATCAGATGATTGCGGGAAGGCGAAGGCGTGATCGTACATCTCCTCACATTTTATGATTTTGATTTCCGGGATACTCTGACATGAAAATATTTTGAAAACACTTTGTAATAATTAATGGTTTTTAACTGGTTGAAAAAGTTTTAAATTGGATAAAATTGATGGGTTTTGAGAATTCTAACACTTCCTAAGTGTAACACCCCAAAATCATAAAGTCCAAGAAAAGAAAGAAAACCCTAAGTCAAAGGGTCAACTCGTCGAGTCCAGGGAGGAACTCGACGACTCCGAGCGGGATTCGGATCGAGGAGTAAGTGACCGACTCGGTGAGTCAGAGAATGGACTCGGTGAGTCCGGTCTGAAGAGAGAAACCCTAATCTCGGGGGTTGTACCCTATTTAAGGGATGTTATGTCCCTTCCTCAATCTCTATATCACCCTAGAGAACCTGTAAATCCTAGTTTTCGAGTGAGCTTCCATCATTTGAGAGAAAATAGCTTTAGATGAGGAAATCTTTGAAAGGAACTTGAATATCAAGAGTGTTGCTTCAAATGACAGGTGTAGATCCGAGAACTATTTCAGTTTGTGCTCATCTTGGAGGTAAAAAGTTGTTATCTTTCCTCCTTTGCATCTAGATCTATCTTGGTTATGAGTTTTGGGGCTTTTATGCCATGTCCTTGAACCATTTCGAGTTGGAGCCCAAATCTGAAGTTGCTACTTCAGATCTTAGTGTATTCTGGCCTAGAAAATCATAAAGCATCAGTCTTTGGGTTGGTTGTTAAGCCTCTTTGTCTTAAACCCTAGTTTGTAGTGTTTTGAGCCTTGATCTCCTTAGTTATACGTAAAGTTTGCAACTTTACATGGGGAATGGACTATGGAAGTATGGATCTATGATTTGCAGCCCATGCATGGTTCGAAAAGCCACTGAATGGATTAAGAACTGAAGCGAGTTGGCGAGTCACATGGGTGGACTCGGTGAGTTGGATGAAGTTAGGCAGCAACTCGACGAGTTGGAAGAACAACTCGGTGAGTATGTTGAAGATTGGCTTGGACTCGGCGAGTCTGTTCTTGGACTCAGCGAGTCAAGTCGCGAAACCCCCAAACCCTTTGAGTTAAGACTCGGATCAGTGAGCTGAGTGGGGACCCAGTGAGTTGGACAAGTCAGGACTCGGAAATCAGTAGACTCGGCGAGTCATGGTTTGACTCAGCGAGTCGAGTCGCGGTGAAAGGGGTTTCTGAACTTATGAACTCGACGAGTCAGTAGGCTAACTCAACGAGTAGGGTCAACCTAGAAGTTTGACTTTGACCAGGACTTTGATTTTGACAAGAGTTAACTTAGTTGACTTTTGGAGGACTGTCAGACTAAGTGTTATATTGATATTGGTAGCACGGAGAGCTAGAGGAGCAGCACCTCAGAGGGTTGTTGGTTAGCAGCCAGAGGGTTATCAACAGAGCTCAACAGTTCAGGTGAGTTTCCTTCCAGTAGTAATGGGTCTAAGGCCACAATGCCGACCCGTTTAGCTGGCAGTAGTTTCCAGACTTCGGTCCGATGCAGTAGTTAGTATGTTTGATGCCTTCGTAGCTCAGACAGGATCTGTGTTATGCGTTCCGGGCTACGACCCGATGCAGTATGCAGT